AAAAAAAAAAAAAAAAACCCAAGGACACAGCAAAAAGAGAGATAAGAGATTTTAGCCCCAGATAAAGAAAATGCTTGATTTCCGGGGATAGAACAACCTTAAAATCCAGGGATAGAACAACCTTAAAAGAACTTAGTGAGTTTAGCAAAATCTCCCATTTGTGGGCACTTATCAGGTACCAGACACTGTACTAGGCACATTACTTTCATTGTCTTATTTAATTCTCAAAAAAGTTGCACCTATTGACAGGTACTATTTTCCCCATGTTATAGGTCAGGACTGAGCCTCAGAGTAGCTAAGTAACTTGCCAAGGTTTACACTGTCAATAAATTTTGCAAACAAGAATGAAACCCAGATTTGCCAGGCTCCAAACCCAGGTTCTCACCACTGGAGAATTTTCCAGATAACAGAATTCTCTCTCCTCCTACAGCCAAGGTTTTATATTGCCCCATCCCACCCCTGGCACCTTACAAATGTGACAGTCCACTGAAGACTTTTATAGCAGCAATTTTGCAGAAGACGAGCTAAGGACATTTTATAGTATAGGAAAGTCTTTATCACCTGCTTTTGAGGGAAGCAGAAAGAAAAATAGCTGAAATGTTAGAAGTATAGTTGATCAAGACTCTGTACTTTACAGGCTGAACTGAGAGCAGTTACAGAGACTGAGACCTGTTTGAAATTGTATGCAGGGTCTGATACCCAGTGCTAAGCTGTCTGTCAGGCATCCACATATCCATTTTGGGATAGGATTCATGTGGTTCCCTGGCCCACCCCATCAATCTACTCATCATCCTTCATTTGCTAAAGTCCCACCTTCTCAGATAGACCAAAAGTTTAGTAAAGCAGAGACTGTTTTTGTAGGAACTGGTGCTATATCTGGCATATAGTTGGCATTCAGGATTTATTTGCAAAAAATAAAAGTATAGCATATTTAAACATATGAGATTCTATTGAAGTAATTGTTAGGGGGAAATTATGGCACTAAAGCCTGTATTAGAAAGAAAGAAAGAAAGGACTCAAATCAATGAGCTCAATTTACAGCTTAAGGAATGAGAAGAAGAAGAGTATATTTAATCCAAAGTAAGCAGAAGAATGAAAATAATTAAGAGTGTAAATAAATGAAATAGAGAACAGAAAAACAATAGTGAAAATCAAATGAAACCAGAAGCTAGTTATAAAATTAATAAACCTCTAACCAGACTGACCAGGAAAAAAAGGGAGACACAAATTGCCAGTATCTGGAATGAGAGATGTAACATCACTACGGATTCTACAGTCCTTAAAAGGACAGTACAGGAATACTGTGAACAACTTCATGCCAATAAATTCAGCAACTTATATGAAATACACAAACTTCCTAAATTCATTCTAGAAGAAATAGATAACCTGAATAGTCATGTATATTAAAAAAATACAAGTTGTAGTTAAAAACCTTCTTACAAGGAAAACACCAGGCCCTTAGGACTAAGCCTACCAAACATTTAAGGATATGTTTGTGGAATGAATGATTGAACAGTGGATGTAAAGATAACAAACCTCATCTGTAAAGACAAGATAACATTGGCTCAGTGCCTATAGCTCAGAGGCTAGGGCACCAGCCACATACACTAGAGCTGGTGGGTTCGAAGCCAGACTGGGCCTGCCAAACAATGACAACTATAACCAAAAAATAGCTGGGTGCTGTGGCGGGTGCCTGTAGTCCCAGCTACTTGGGAGACTGATGTAAGAGAATTGTCTAAGCCCAGGAGTTGGAGGTTGCTGTGAGCTGAGACGCCACAGCACTCTACTGAGGGCAACATAAAGAAACTCTGTCTCAAAAAAGAAAAAAAAAAAGACAGATAATGTTTCTACCAATGGCCTAATGAAGAGGGCTTGATCGCTAATCCCACAACCATTTTATAGTGGGTTTATATGCATGAGTACTCATGTGTACAAACTATTAACAAAATGTCCCTGTATCATTACTTCTTGATGGTTTATTCCCCTCCACTAAGAACTTAAAAAGTTCTGAATGAAAAAAATTTGGGGGGACTATCAAAGAGAACCATGTAGATCCAGACAATATTTGTATTCATCATCTTGGTGCCCATTTAATCATTCAACAAACATTTACCAATTACTCATTTACTATGAATCAGGGACTCTGTCTCAAGATCTGCAGATGAAAAGTCCAATAAGACAGATTTCACGATATCACAAGCTCCCAGTCTAGAGATGTTTAGAGGTGATAAATTCAGTAGTTACCACGCAACATGTGGTGCTGTGATAGAGCAGTGTACCACGTGCCGCATAAACATAGAGCATACTTGAATTCAGTTTTCAAGTAGACGCTAACTAGATAAAGAAGAGGAGAAAAGCAGTTGAACAATACCCGCAGTGGCCTGGAGGCTGAACAGGCACGTCCGCTTTGGGGGACTACAAGCAGTGCATTTGGATCACCACAGGAGAAGGAGGTTGGAGGTGATGCTAGAGAAGGGGGAGGAGGTGAACCATGTGAGACCAGGCTGAGGGCTGAGCCAGGAAATGTGGGCTTTATCCCAACAGCCGTGGAGAGCCAGTGAAGAAGGTAAGCCAGGAGGAAGATGACAAGACTTGAGGTTTAGCTCATCCAGCTGCTGAATAAATTGGAGGGAAGCCAGGCTGGAGGCAGGGGGATGAGTCCTAAGGAATTTCTAGAAATTCAGGAAAGAAATGGTAAGAGTCTGAAGCAAGGTATCTCAAACATGCAAGGTTCACTAGAGGGGCTAGGAAGCACAGCACCCTGTAGACTAGTGACCAAACAGGGCACATTCCTGTTTATGTTGCATTCCACACATCCCCCTCCTCCACCCCCACCCCCATCAACCTCCTGCCCTTACACAGCTGGGAAGAGGAAGGGCATGCCATGCCTGGTGCTGGCTGATTTCACCCAATCCTCTCAATAGCTGTCTGAAAATGTAGAATCATTCATATTTTACAGATTAGGAATCAGGGCTTCTGGAAGTCCTAACTCAAGCTATGGGCAGTGTGGCATCTTGCACCTAATCCCCTAAGGACTTGTGAATCAGTTTCACCTGTATCTCTGTGAGTCCCTGGCTTACTCCTTACTCCACTGGTTAAATATAATACGTTTCACCTCCGACTCACCTCATTGCCAGAAAGGTGGTACATCCTGGCTTCCTGGAGCAGCGGGAAGACCTCTGGGCACTGCCTGATGAGAGGATCTGCTTCAACTGTGTCCACAAAGTACCACGGGTCCAGCAGCGGTAAGCGCACGTTCTCGAGGACATAGGGGAGCAAGCAGAGTCGTTCTGACTGTTTATGTCGGACCCAGCTCATCACAGTCTCAAACACCTGAGCCTCCTCAGTCACATAAAGGTCATCACTCTTCAAGATGTAGTACAGAGTGTCCACGGGAAGTTCAAGGAACTCCTCAGAGTTCAGAATCTGCACAAAATTTTGAATGATGTAGTTTTGAACCTGCTTCTTTAGACTGTCCAGAGAGTGTGTGTCTGCCAGCCTCAGTATTCCAACACAGTTTTCCGGGTTCAAGGCTTCAGTGAGGAAGCTGGCGCAGGCATCCACCATCCTCAGGAACTAACAGAACAGAAAAGTGGCAAATGAGGCCAAAAAAGGATTAGCCCACAAGGAGGTTTAGGGGTGAGTTGTGTGTAGTAGTAAAAAATTAGAAACAACTTAAATGTCCAATAAAAGAGGACTAGCTAAATAAATAATATATGCACATACTTAACATCTCTATCAAGAACATATTGTAGAAGGAGGTTAAATGACATGGGAAATATTCATAATATATTGAGTTTAAAAATCTGCTCACTGAAATCTGATCAAGCCTCCAGATTTAATCCCATTGTATAGGAAATACAGGGCAAAAGAGAAACAAGTTAAACAACATCATGGGAATCCAATCTGCAAAATCCAGACTGTGGGAAACTCTACAGAACAAGTGATTCCTTTCTTTAGCAAATACATTACAAGGGGGAAAAAAGGGAGATCAGGAAGGGGAGGGGCAACCTAAAGATAAAAAGAGCTTTAAGAGATGACCATTGCAGGGTACAGACCTTATCTGAATCCCTAATTTAAATAAAAAAAATTTTCAAAGTTGGAGAAATGTGTACAATGATTAATATTTGGTGATATGAAATAATTATTCATTTTAAGTGTTATCATGGTGTTGTGGTTATATTTAAGAATATTTCTTATTATGGCTC